CAACTGCAGGTTGTACTGTCTAACGTAAACCCTGGTGTCCTATATCGGACTCTTTTTTTTTTTTTTTTTCTTCTAGGCGACGAAGCATCTTGAAGAAGCTCTCAAAGCAGAGCACAGTGATACACAGCAGCCGCAGCTTCTCCTCAGGACTCCACCACTCTGTTTCCTCCAGTGAGAGTCTTCCAGGCTCCCCGACACACAGCCTCTCCCCCGGCCCCTCCACACCATGCCGGAGCCCTGCACCAGACCATCAGACCTTTGGTGAGCTCAGTTTGTCTCTCTAGTCCGGTTGGACAGTGGCCTATGCACACACTTTATTGTTGCATTAAGCTGTTATGTGGTTCCGTTATGAACATTTTTAAGAGAAGTTTCTGTAAGTAAATATGTAATAAAGGTTTTTAACACCTTGTTTACATCATCTGAAACCGTTTCACCTCTGCTTCCCAGAAAATAATTCTCCTCAGAGCACGTCTCCCTGCTCCAGCTCTCCCAGTTCCCCAGCTGCACACATCCGGCCCAGCTCTCTGCACGGCCTGGGCTCCAAACTCAGCACGCAGCGCTACTCAAAGGTAGGCCGCCGGAAGTCAACCAGCAACATCCCCCCTTCACCCCTGGCCTGCAACTCCTCGTCTTCCACCCAGCCTCTTTCTCCGCAGCGATCTCCCTCTCCACTCTCGGGCTTTGCAAAAACCCTTCACGCATACCATGGTAAAACGCTGTCCCCGCCCACCATCGTCAGACACATTGTCCGGCCCCGAAGTGCAGAGCCGCCTCGGTCTCCCTTGCTGAAGAGGGTGCAGTCAGCTGAGAAGCTCTCCGGTGTGTACCATGCTGATAAGAAGTCGTATGCACCCCGCAGGCACACATTGGAAGTGCCATTTTACGGTGAGGCAGACCTACTGGGCGACTCTGAGGCAGAGGTTGCCTGCGGAGGCTCCTACATCGGAGGATACATGGGCAGTCAGAGGTTGGATCGTTCCGAGCAGCTTGTTGTGATGCGAAAACTCAACCTATCGGAGCGGCGAGACTCCTTTAAGAAACAGGAGGCGGTGCAGGAAGTGAGCTTTGACGAGCCGGAAGAGAAAACCAGCACCACAGTCACCGTGACAACAATATCTCCAGGAATTCAAACACAACAGCAGCAGCAGCAGCAGCAGCAGCAGCACAAGATGGCCTGGATCCTCACCGGACCCCAAAACAGTGAGGATGTGGAGCTGGAGGTGCCAGTAGTGAGGAGGTTCACACTGGTGCCTCAGATCGCTGTCCAGGGCTCCACAGAGAGCGAGGGCCAGGACGAGTGGGAGCCGTGTTCAGATGGAGAGGGGACCAACGAGAAACCGGAGCTGGAGGTGGGAATCACGTCATCTCAGCCTCAACAGGTGGGACGTCCTCTTGCTGAGAAGAGCTGCAGACAGGCAGCAGAGACCTCCTCCTCCTCGGTTCCTCAGGTTGGACCCTCATCAGAGTGCAGAGGCGAGACTGAGAAAAAAGGGCCTCAGAGAAAGTGACATCACAGCACGGCCCTCATTTCAACTGATCATATCTTTCTTTCAAGTGTTTAAAAAAGTGGTGACCTCGTTAACAAAGTTGTCATGCTGACAGAGAGAGAGTGGAGGAAGTTTTTACTTGAATTTTGTAATTGTAAATATTTGCCTTGAGGCATTGCAGACGATCGGGTGTTATTTATTACATTTGTGAACTATGATGAGTTAATAAAGGGAGAGAGGAAAATTAACATTGGTTGTATAGCCGAGGCTCAACATTTTGTATCCATACTGTACAAATGTGTTTTTATGTCTTTGGACTGGATTGGGATTTTTTTTTTTTTTTTTTTTATAAATGTCTATTTTTTAAAGAATTGCTGCAGTACAGAATTTGATATTTGATAACGTTGGGTGTAGTTGTTTAAGGACCAAAAGGTACAAGAAGTCATTTCTGAATCTGAATTTGTGCTTGATATTTTTTTCTTCCTTACGTTATCAGTACAGCTTCCAATGGTGTTTTACCGCTTTTATTTAGATCTCCAAAAAGAAACAACCTAAGAATGAATTTTGGTTCACACTGTGAGCAACATGATTTATGTTTCATTTTCTGATCAGCCAGGCTTAGCCTGTAATGTACAACTAAAATCCTCATTATCTGCTGTGTTGGGTTGGCATTCAATCTTACAAGAGAACACTAAAGTTACCATTCACTACTTTGCATATTGGGGAAAATGCTCACATTTAAATATTTCTTTAAACTGTGAAGCTTTGCATGCCTGAAGTCCTCCCAGCATCCCTTTCTCTGGACAACTATTGGTTATAAAACAAACACAAGTAGGGACAGAGGATGTGCTGCATAAAAAGCTTAATGTGGCCAATGTTTCTCTTGACAACTTGTCACACTTTCAGAAATAAAAGTACTTCCACTGACTTGCTGATCATATTTCTTGCAGGGTGAATCCAAAGTCAAACTTTAAAGTTGATACACTTGATGAAGCTGACTCATAAAAAGGGTATTTATTATGTGCCATGCTGTCAGTGCATTGTCCTCAAAGCCATATCTTTGACGAGTGAAACCTCAGTTTTATTCATGTGTTGTTCGTAATCTCAGAATTAACAGGCTTCTTAGTTGTGGTTTTTTGCATTCTTGACAACATGTACTGAAAATGAAGCTCTGGATGATTGCGGAACGTAACGCTCTGCTTTGTGGCTACTCAATCCAAACTTTGTAATACCACAAAGAAGTATCTGAAAAATGTTTGATTACTTAACACCTGCTCGCACCTGAAATCGATGCATCATTATGGCTTTTCCTCTCGCTGTGATAACGTAATACTCAGCATGCAAAACACTGAGCGGCCAAAATCAAAGTCTATGTCTTCTGAGCATGGAGGGAATCATTTTTGTTCAAAACCTTTTGGAATTTATTTGTTGGTCTAAACTTATAAGACATTTTGTACCTGGAAATGTATTTGATTCTTGTATATTTTTGGAGTATTTTTCTGAAACTGTAGCTTTTGTCTTTGGTTTCTATTTCTTTTTTTCATGAGCATGCAGGAGATGCCATGCGTAAAACATGTATTCCTACTTTATTTACCCTGTAGTGATGTTTACATCAAGGGGAAAAGTGCACTAATGTATTTTTGTAGGTGACTGTTGAAAGTGAACTAAAATTGGCAGAGTGAAACACTTCCATTGAATCCAAACACAGGGCTGCTTTGAACAAATGTTTTATGTCTTTGTATCGTACAAATATTGATGTATATTTTGATAACAAGTTGTGTTTATAACTCTTAATGTGTTCAAGGACAGTATGCACAATGACAACTGAGGCATGAGGATTTAAGGAACTCTGACTGGAGGGAAATCCCTGGAGAAATTCAGAACAGTCTTTTACATCCACTGGATGTTCTTCACATTTTACCACCGCAGTGACAGAGGTTTGAGGTTTAAGGTCTGATTTGATAGTTAGCTGTTGCTGGATTTTGTACACACTTACTGTTGAGTCTTATGTTGATAAAGCTCCATAATTTAAGTCCTCCTTACAAAATGCCCCTACATCTCATGCTGATGTCCTTATGGGATGCTGTCATGTAAAATTGTTTACAATGAATAGACATGCTATGTACTGTACAGACAGTTTTTATCCTGTGGCTGTATATGATGAAACTACTCTCTTTGATACCATTGAAGAAAACCACACTCAGAAGTAACATATCTAATTTGTTTTTGTTTTGTTCTTTTGAATCTGTTCGTAACGAGTGAGAGTAATTTAGCACTAAGCTGAGAAGCTTTTAGCGATTTAAATGCATTTAATTGACCAGTCAGGTCTGCTTTTGTAGATTTCAGTGAATGGAGAAAAACTGTTTTATAACTGGGCTAAGGGATAAAATGAGACATGGTTAACAGAGCTGAATGTCTGTGGTGGACATTTGCATTTAAAAAAAAAAAGATGTCATACATTAATGCTGCAGAGGGATGATTTAAAACTACTCTACATGTTTTCTTATGTAACACAACAAGATCAAATCAAACTAAAATAGCCAATTCAACACCATTTACACAATTCAGACTAATTTGCACAGACAGCCGGTACTCTGACTGTATTTTTAAAAGGCTTTATAGTTCAAGTATAACTTTGCTTCAAAATGTATAAATGGGAATAATCTTCACATAGCATATCGACTGATTTCTTCTATGAATGTAATTGTAGTTGATGCCTGGTTGATTTCTACTTGGTGAAAGTCTGTGCTGCCTCAGTAACAAGATGTGACAGTGATGTGACTGTTTCAATGTAACGAAAACGTCAGCCACTGGTCAGCAAAAGATTCTCAGCTTGTGTTAAATCTACTCTTCAGAACAAACTGGCAGGATAAACTGTTGTACATCTGCACGAGTTCTCCTGTTGACTCCTGTGTTCAGTGCATGCTGCATGAAGACAAGCACACATCTGTAATACTTGATGCATGGTATACCGGCGCTGTCGCCCTGTACTGTGTTTTCTTGTGCAACAAATAAAATTTGTATTTCTCTTTGACTCATCCTTTGTCTGACTCACACTGTTGCTTAATTCTTATGTAATTCATCTTTGCTAACCACTTACAGAGCTCTGCCAAAGCTCTGGTGAGGGAAAATATGTCGGCTTCAGCACATCAAGGATGTTTACAAAATCTCACACTTATTTGAAAGCTATAAAAGGAGGGAAAATACATAATGTAGATAGATTTTAAATTCATTGCATATCTATCTTACATTTCTGTTATTATTTTGGTGATAACTATATTAAGAATGAATACTTAGAAATAAGAAAATAAAAAAAAGACAATTTACTGAGGTTGGAAATTAAAGTTTAAATTCCCTCATTAATTGATCTATTGTCTGCACAATGATTTGAAATACCACCTTTAGCTGATTTGCTTAAATACCTGTATTATTATAAACGATTCAGTTATACAGTAATAGTAAAGCTGCAGTTTCACACCCAGACCGCCAGGTGGCAGAAGACCGGGAAAAGACTTTATTTAACATAGTAGAAGAAGAAGAACTCGTGTCCTTCACGACCACAACAGCAATCATGGCGACTGCTACCAAAATCATTCAGCGGCTTCGAAATTTATTATCTGGGGTAAGAAAAACATTCTCAGACTAGATAGTGTTTGTCCTGTTGGAGACTGGATGAAACCTCGTAACTAACATGCCAAATGAACGCTGAAGCTACAGTAGCATTAAGGAGCTAGTCAGTGTGGCTAGTTTAAGATAGCTGGCTGCAGATATCGCAAAAGGTTAAAAAAGGTTAGAAGTGTTGTTAGCGTTTATTTTCAGCAACTATTAATATTATAATATGTTAATTCACTCTTCGTTGTACTTTTCAGCATGACCTGCAAGCCAAACTGCAGCTGAGATATGAGGAGGTTGCAAAGAGGTAAGTTGTTAAGTAAGTAATTATTAAGTTGTTTAATTGAGGGACTAGAGAAAAGAAGAATAACATACTGTACTCACTGCTTATTTGAATGTCATGTAAGGTCATTTCAGGTAAATTTACATGCAGTGTGAAGATAAGAGCATAATAAAGATCACTCACATTATCGTGCTAACACAACAATATTAATATAAAGCCCCGAAAATGATCGTGATCTAGAAACGCTGAGGTGACATTCAGTTAAGCAGTGAGTACAGTATGTTATTCTTCTTTTCTCTAGTCCCTCAATTAAACAACTTTTATTCGTGAAGTGATGAGCCGGTCGGCCGTCCTGGCGATGTAAACAAAGTGAAGATAGGACTCGGAAAACTCGGAAAACATCACAGACAGTGGGACTCTGGAGTTACACCCATTGTAGACAGTCATGACTCTCAGGCTGCATCCGAATTGCCAAGTACCTACTCAGTCTGTCAGTAGGCAGCACCTACTATCGTGCTGTATACTGTTTAGTACCTACTATTCAGTAGGCGCACACAGTAGGAAGATATTTGTTCCTACTTCTTCTGATTCATTCAGTAAGGAAGTGGCGTCATTTACATTACCCGAACCGGCCGCATCCACCTGTTTTTGTTTTGTTTAGCTTTATTCAAGAAGAGTAATGCGCATATACAGTCAAAAAAGAAAACAATATCACAATGTAAATCAAGTAAAAGACAGATTCAATAACTAAATAACATACAGTACATAAAGGAAAGTACAAATGAAAGACAGAAATATATAAAGTCAACCAATAAAGACGCATTTAAATAGTGAAATCATTATTTAAATAGAGGGGGAAAGGTTTTAGAATAATGTATACATTTGTTATGTTTTCTGTTGTGAATTAAAAGTAGTGATTTCAGTCGGGACTTTAACTCTAGATTAAAAATTGATTCAATTAATCCACGCTCGTTTGTTTTGATTTGAAGGCGGACGTGAAGTGACGATTTACGTGTAATTTCGCACTGCATTGTGGGTGGTAAAATACAATTCATTTCCTGAAAGGATGCATCCGATCCATACTGCATGAAACCCGGAAGTTAGTATCCATACTGAAATGTTCAGTATACTGAGGTGGACCCAAAAAATGCATACTGAATGACCACGAAAGTTCAGTATACTGAAACTCCCTACTGACAAGTACGTACTGCATACTGAACTGTGACTATTCGGAAAGGGCCACAGAGTTATTTTCAGAGGATTTACTTGATTTCCATTACATTTAAGTGTGAAAAATCACATATTAAGCCTTTAAAAATGCATGTTTTCTTCTGAAATTTTCGGTCTCTAATGTAAGGTCATTCCCTATCTGACCGCTTCTGCTTCTGGCACTGCATTTGTTTTCACTTTCCCGACCCAAACCGTGGCACACCCAGACATTTAAGGCCCCTAAGATCTTGGCGTGGCACACCAAAACCAAAATCCATGCACTGAATTTAAAAAATGCTTTTGTATTTCATGGTATAGGCTGAAAACGTATTCAGGCACCAGTTATCCACATTATTTGTTAATTATGTTCCTTGTGGACAACTTTAACTTTAAATTCTGTGTACAATGCTTTTTCTCTAGGACACAGCCACCTCCCAAACTACCTGTAGGACCGAGCCACAAGTATGCCAACAACTACTACTTCACCAGAGATGGACGTAGAGAGTCTGTACCTGCTACTGTCGTTATGTCTTCACAGAAGGCTCTTCCAGCTAGCAGGTACATGTCTCGATCAGTACATTTTTCTATGTGGTAATAGTTAATGTTTTAACCAGATAAGGGTATTTCTCTGATTATTACAACTTTCATATCACACATTTTAACAAAGCTGAATTAAGATAACAAGCATCTCAAGCAAACCTGATAAACCTGGCAGGATTATTCACACTTTTCCTAAACAAGCACCTGTCACTCCACATCAAGTTCATCTCTTACTAAATCAACTTTTGGGAAAACGTTGTAAAATAGCCAAATGTTGAATGAGACTTCTGATCTTACAACTCCCTTAGCTGGAACCTTACTGTTGAACAGGAAGTGTTACATTTGCATTTTCAGCAGATCAACAATGTGAAAATGTTGTCCTTACACCAAATAGAGTAAACATGACCAAATACATTCAGCACAAGCAAATACAACTAAATAAAGACAAGGCAACCAAAAGTAGAAAACACTTACACCATAACCACATGCAGCCAAGTCAACATCTTTAATGCAGTGGTTCTATAAGTGAGATGGGCCCATGTAAACAGACACATTCACATTATGTTAATGCAGTAAGGTTCATGTTAGGGCGGTAGTTGTCTAATGCGGACAGTGCAAATTATACAAGTGAGGGGTAATTGAAATCCCACTGTAGAGGTCTATGAGAGATGTCTGCACATTTTGGTAACACAAAATAATCCATCTGTGTGATCTGCTAAAGATGTTAATCTAATGTATTTATGTAAGTAGGCTGGTTTAACTTCTAAAGTATTTGCCATCTTTATGGCCCATGATAACTGATAAGATAGGTTGTGAAGGTTGATAGAATACCTATGTTTATTTCTGAAATATTTTGTATCTCTTCTAGTCAAGTAGTTGAAGCCCCAAAGCCTCCAGTGACCCCGGGTGCTGTGTACAAGGAGCCTTCTCTCTCCACAGACCAACCATACCTTTAAGCTGCAGGATTATCCCATTCAGCACCAACAACTTCATTTATCCACCAAACCTGCTCCAGCGGCCTGACCACTGCATGAATTGGTTGTATCCTGTATAATACCAAGTGTGAATAAAATATGTTCTATTTAAACTTTTTGTCAAACTTGTTATTCTAGTTAATTAATGAACCACAAAGTGTAAGAGGGATTACATAACTTAAATATGTTTAAGTTCATCACAATAACAATTCAATTAAAAAGCTGACAAATGACTGAGTTATTCTGCATTTATGTGCTCCTCGGATGGTCCCAGTTTCAGAGTTGGGACGTTGTTCTACGTCTTTAAATTGGACATTTAGCCCCCCATGTGATGATGAATATGAAGTCGGGACAACTATTCTTTCCCGACTTGTTGCTCCGACTTGAGCAGACGTTCATGTGCATTTTAATACTCGGAAACTTGTTTTTTCCGATGTGTGTCTGACACCACGTGCATGCACCATTAATACCAGTAGAATACTTCACATATTACAATCAAAAATGTGTTTCGGGTTGAGGATTACCGGTAATATACAATTTTGGTTTATTATAATTCTCCTGGACCCCGCTCAAATCCACAGGACTTCTCCCTGCTTTTATGCCTGTATTAACACTAAGATGCATCCAGTTAAAAACAAGTCAAGTTAATAAACCGGACTGTCCTAAAGCTCTCCTGCACACCTGAACAGATGAATATAGCCTCATTTAGCCAGTTTAGTTTCTGAGCACAGTATAAGCAGACTGTAAATGAAGATGAATTGGTGAGAACACTTAATTTGTTGGTCTAATCAGCAAACGTAATTGAATACACCTGTGACGGTGGTCATTATGTGACATCATAAAGCCTCCACACACACACACAGGTGTTTTTAATTACGCTGGCTGACAAGGCTAGAAGAGGTTGTAGATGTATAGGTGGAGCAATGGTTAGAGCCTATCAATACAATTATCAGGATATTGGTGATTGATATATTCCTGAGAAGAGGTCTAATCATGGTCCAATCACAAACACCTGTGTGAGTGTAAAGGTGCTTTTAAAATAAGTTACTAGTCTACATTTGAAGGCTACACTCAAAATTATTTGTAAAAATCACACTAGTAGGCTACCAGACTAGAAGCAGCATTTTTGTGTAGAAAGGCTGAAATAAAACGATGCTTCAGTGAAAACACTTTTTTTTTTTAACACAATCTCCATCATTTATGTAAAATTGCAGCGAATAACTTTCATAATTTACGTACTACGTGATTAAATAATAATTTAATAAGCATCGGGAAAAAAAAAAAAACTACAAACAGCGTCGGCCGTTACGTTGACAACCTGCTGTTTGACAGCTCTTGCGTCATCTTTATGCGCCGCGTGCGCTGCATCTGTGGAGGACATCGAGCATGGGACACCTTGGCGTTTTATGTCTACTGTTCCCATCTCTGACTTATTTGAATATTTTGGGTAAGTAGCTGGAATTATATGTGCCTATGTGAAATAGTGAGTCAGTTTTAATGCGTTATTGTAAATAAATGGAGGTGAGGGAGAGAGTTTTAACCAGGTGTGCTGCCCAGCAGTTTGAATGGGGTGTTACATTGCAAACTACATTGGACTTTGTCTGTGGCATCTTGTGTTTTCTTAGATGTTGTGTTGATAGACAATTGCATAACACTGAAGTAAGCCAAAGTTTTGCATTCTAGCCCCAACGCCAGATATTTTTTATCTATTCTACTGAAACGTATAGTTTGTTATTTAAAAGATTGAACGATCAAAACAAAGGATGTAATCTACCACTTCCATTTACGTACATTTCTAATGAAATACAATTTTTGCAGCTCCACACTTTGAACAGTTTCTTTATCAGATACAGGACACAGTTTGATCTGATTGAAAATGTCTTAATTTTCTCAGTTTTGTTGAAATATAAAATAAAATGTCATTGGACACAAGTGAAGACTGTTAAACTGCATGAACAAGTTTGATGAAATAAATGTATGATTCAACCCAAGTCTCTTTTGTCAACATGTAACATTTAATCCTTGAGTTTGTATTTTTATTTTAGTTTTTCATTCAGGACAGAATGACTTGTACAACTCATTACTTTAAACCAGTTTTCTATTTCTGTAGGATTCCTTCTGATCCCTCTGACTTGTTCTCTCACTGACTGACGATCAGCACAGAGACAGTAAACAGTCTGTTTACATGTGTTTCAGGTGCTTCAGCTCACTCTCTTCCGCCCTGCAATGAGCAGCTGGAGTTCAGGTGTGACGATGGCCTTTGCATCCCTAAGCTAAGAGTGTGTGACGGACAGAAACATTGTGTGGATGGATCAGATGAACACAGCTGTGGTGAGTACACCGTCGATGAAGAGCCATTCCAAACTGTAAAAACACGCCGCACACACAGTCTGGTTTGGGTTTCATGGGCTCTTTTTATTTACATCATTATTTTTCTTTTTGCCAATCAAAGAAAAAAAAAAAACTGATATATTTTAAGCAGTTTTCGAATATAGTATGATTTTAAAAAAGGGAAGGAATTCAAAGTGCAGACAAGATCGAAAAGAAACAAGATATGGAAAAGACGAAATTGTGATCTGGAAAGAATCAAATGAGATAAATAAAAATTCCAACAGAAGTATAAAAATCACGATGCATTTGAAGTGCTGAGCAGGTATGAATAAAAGGTGAAGGGCAAACAGAAAGGTTTAAGCATCAACTCAAGGTGGTACAGACCTGATATCAATAAAATCAAGGTATTCTGTGAGTATCTCTGAAAAACTTCCCTCATTGGTCGTGAGAGCAACGGCAAAAAATAAAAAGGGTGGGTGTGATGTTTGGAGTATAGGAAAGGTAAAGAGATCAACAAGTTGTGGAACAAAGGAGCATACGGAGGCAGGGACTTGACTTTTTTTTTCCGAAATTCAGAAAATGTGACCTTGAAATCTTTCTTAAACAGAAATATTGTGCATGTAACTAAACTGTATGTATTTGACTTTGCTGAAACTCGAATAATGTCAAGTCCATACTGGCTGGAGGATGTAAGTAAAAGGTGATTATCTAGGATTTTCCCAGTTTCTGCTTAATCAGTTCCAACAAATCCAAACCAAATGGTGTCAAAGTCTAACATCCTAAGACAATCTTCATGTTCAATTTCCTGTGTTCAGATGTGGAAACCCTTTTACTTACACTCGTTGTCCTTTTTGAAAGAACAGTATTGTTAAATAGTGGGTTTCCCAGCTTTAAGTATAACTTTGTTTATTCAGGGTTTACACTCTGTTACTAAGAGGCGTGCTCTCACACACACACGACTTACACACATGCACAAACAGGACCTGTGTACGTGCATTAATGAAGAGATGTCATAGTGGGGCAGCAGAGATGTAAGGGGGTTTTTGGTGCCTTGCTCAAAGGTACCTTGACATTACTCTGGAAGTGACCTGTCACCTCTCCAGCATCCAGAACAATTTCCATACTTTGATCTGCACCAGGACTTGAACCCCAAACAAAGTCCCTACAGACTGAGCTAGCAGTATCGTAAAGGTTAATTCTTGATAACTTTAGCAGAATACCATTGCAGATTTGTCTTTAATCCCATTAAGTAATGTGAGACTTTGACATTAAATTCCTGAGGGATTTGAGTTCAAGCATGAACCACAATTTCTTAACACGAGTGAAAAAGCTTCCAGGGGAAGTTTTTTTTTTAATTAAACATAACGATTACTGATGTGAGCTTTGCCTGAGACGGTGTTGCTCAGAGGTTAGCAAGTTGAAACCTAACTTCATTGCTTTGCCTTTGGTTTCTTCTCTTTTTATTTTCACCATCCATCGAATTGTTATTTTAAAGAATTCATATAGAATTCTTATTGGTGTACATGAGTCTTTAGAATAGTTTTTTAAGATTCTACCTGTCAATCACCTGTCTGCTTGGCAAGCACTTTGAACTACATTTGAATTAATCTGACAGGGGAAATAAATATATAAATCATTAATCCACCGCACACTGAAATGGACTTTACTGTGACTTTGAAAGCGTGTTTCATCTGTAGCTTCCTCAGGTTTGTCCAGCCGATGAATGATTTTTTTTCTTATATGTTCCTGCAACCGACCAGCACTTGAGTACGCAGGTTATCTGTGCATGGGGACTCCTGTTTGGTGTTATATGGTGCTATAAATTGTTGATTGAATGTCATAAAACTTAGTAGTAGTAGTTATCTCATCAATAATTCTGTGAAAAACAAGGCTGCAGGAGTGCTTCAAGACTTTAACATTCAACATGTTCTGCAGTATGATTACTCGTCTGATTAGTCATCAAACAAATATTCCATCGGGTTATTTTTTTCCTTGTCTTAATATTTGTAATGGATATAAAATTGAAAGTACAATGGTAGAGGATTTAATGATGTCACTCGGCCTCACAATTTAAACAGGCCAAAGGTCGACCCTCAGATAATGGAGTGTCTTCGAGCTTATGAGCTGACTGCATTGGGTTTTTTTTTAACAGCTATTTTTAATGTAAACTTGTTTTATTTCCACTAACATAATTTAGCCAACATGTTTATTAACAAAAAAGCTTACATTGAACTTTTTAAAAAACGTTTTCAGATTGTACTTTCAGATATATTTTATTATTTTTTAGTTTTCTTGAGTTTCTATGAAACTGCACACAGACCTTTTTATTAGATATACTGTAACTTGAGCTGATACATCACTGACTCCATTTAGAAAAAGGACGGTTGAAGCCTTGCAGATTGTGGATCTGAGGCTCTTGTGAGGTTATCAAGTCAATCACTGCTGTAACTCTCACCCTTGTCAGGTCACCTGGGACCTCGCACGCAGACTCCTCCGACATGTGCAGCGTCAGAGTTTCGATGTAAAAACGGGCAGTGTATCCGTCAGTCCTGGAGGTGTGACCACGACCGAGACTGCTCTGACGGCAGTGACGAGGAAAGATGTGGTGAGTGACGTGGCTTTAAGTCCTCAAACAATGGACATTACGAGAAAATCAGTGTGACTTCCCTTTTGGAATATTAAGTACAAAACTATGTAGACAATCTCATCAGCGACTGTTTTCCCACGGTTCAGGTTATTGGTTCCTGTGAGGTAAATATTTGATATTTTCTAAAGCCTCTGTATGAAGCCTCTGCCTCTAGCTTTTCACCCAACATCAGTGTCTGACCAAACAAAAGCCTGAGGTGTGTTGAAGCACAAAACATGTTGTCCAATCCCGTCTGAGAGCCTCCTTCTTTTATTCACAACTGCTTTGAACATCCACAACCAAAGGAGAGCTGTAAATCCTGCCGCCTTAAAGATTTATGAGACAGAAAATAGGAGAGCTGAGCTAGTCTGATTCTTACTGTCTCACTTACAATCTTACTTTTGACTGTTTGATTGTTGATAGCTGCCCCTGCTAAACAAATACTTCTGTTGAAGGTCACACTGTGCTGCTTTTTTTTCTGTGCAAATATCATGTGTACAGCCTGTTTCAGAAGAGAAGAGCTCTTTAAGGAGAAAATCAGCACCTTTAGTTTAAGCGTGAGATGTTGATTATTACTTTACATGTTGGATACAATGAAATGCTTTGTTGGTGTCATCTAGCAAGCAGCCAGCAGAGGGCAGTACAGCTTTTCTCCACACTGAAGAGTGCCCTGCAGACCGTTGCGTCCTCAGGCTTCTTTATTTATTTACATGAGGAACAAGGTCATTAATTATCTGTGTCCCCTGTCAGTTTCCCACTGGCTGTGCCAGAAAGTCTCCATAAATCTTAACAATGGCTGAATCTCGATGTCCACCTTAAACCCTGAGACTTAAACCCTTACAGACTCAATTGACATCACCTGCGCAAGGTTTGAAGGGCTTGAAATGGTTAAATAGGAATGGTATTTTATTTGACATTTTTTACTTTACTCACTCACAGCCATTGCCCTTATAAAAAGTTCTTACTTACGGTAATATATAGGCTATATATGTGTATTTCTCCATTGTGGGATAAATAAAGGTTTATCTTATATAACGGGACTAATATGCTCTCTGTCTTTCTTATTTTTGTTAACAGACTTGAAGTAAATTTCCAAATAAACTTTTGGTAGACTACTTATTTACCATTTCCCCCTTTTTTTCCCTTTTAAGGCATTTGTTTACCGTTCAGTTGTTGTGAGCTTCCCCTGGTAAGCTTATCTTTCATGTCACAATGCTATGAACGATGGGTAATTCCCTCGCACTACGCCCCTTTTACGAATATCCACAGTTCAGTATGCAGTACATACTTTTCAGTAGGGAGTTTCAGTATGGATACTAACTTCTGGGTTTCATGCAGTATGTATTGGATGCGTCCTTTCAGGAAATTAATTGTGTTTTACCCACAATGCTGTGCGAAATTAACCGGCCGGTTAGGGAAACGTAAGTGACGCCACTTTCATACTGAATGAATCAGAAGAAGTAGGAACAAATATCTGCCTACTGTGCGTGCATACTGAATAGTAGGTACTAAACAGTATACAGCACGGATAGTAGGTACTGTCTACTGACAGACTGAGTAGGTACTTGGCAATTCGGATGCAGCCTACGTCTGCAGATATGCCCACTTACAGACAGGTTGCATAAAGGACTTGGAAAAAGTTAGCTAGAGATCCCTTACTCACTTGAGGATTTGACAGTGGGACAGCACTAAGCCCTCACAGACTTACCATGAACGCAAATGATTAGTCATGTATATTTATTTATTTCTCTCTCTCGCTCTCTTTCTTTCGCTCTCTCTTTCTTTCGCTCTCTCTTTCTTTCTTTGCCTTCAGCTGTTGGTTGTTTAATTTTTTATTTGTGTTTTTCTCTTGGGTCTACAAATCATCCATTACAACATAATAGAAACATTGTTTGCCGAAGAGGAAATCCTGATGTTAATAAGTCTCTCCCAGAGGACGGCACTGGACAACTCTTGCAGCACAATTGTGAAATAAACATCCTCACCAGTATCAACCCTTTTAAATGAGTCACATCACAAGTTCATCAGGTTGGCTCACCTCTCAAGCGTACCTTAAAGTCCTCAATCAGCTTAGCCAGTTGAACCCCAGCTTTGCCAAATAAATAAATAAATAAATCTCAGAACAACATAAATTAAAAACCCAGGACTCAATGGACAGACCTCGGAATGAAATCATCATACAAGTGTTTACAAAGAAATGTTGTCACATTAAGAAATATGTTCTGTGCGCAAATGAGAGACCACAGTAGCAATCATTCATGGGCCACAAACCCAACAGCTTTCCTTTCATCTTTATTGAAATCACTGATGACGTAATGCTTGTTTTTGTAGACCAGAACGAGTGTGAGGTCAATAATGGAGGCTGCTCCTATGTGTGTGAGGACCAGCTGATGGGTTCCATCTGCCGCTGCCCTGAAAACATGAGGCTGATCGGAGACGGCCAGTGTGAGGGTGAGCCTGCACGCTGGACACCTGCTAACAGTCACTAAATGTACTTTTACATAACAGTGTTGTAAAGAATTCTTACTTGTTAGTGCACATCATGTAAGAAATATATCAGACAGAAGACTTTAAGGTCAGTTAATGCAGGAGTCATTTCTGTATGTTAAGAAAGATGCATTATATTCATGACCTTTGCTAACCATCTTTGTTTTTGAGTCTGGGAAGCTGGACGTCCATTTATAATGTTAGAACATTTCTAAGTTGGGCCTGTCCAACTCCTTTTTTTTCTGTTTGTGTTTGTCCTTTCACCCAGAGGTCAATCTGTGCCTGGAGCGCGATGTGTGTGATCAGCTGTGCGTTGCCATGAACAGCAGCCTCACCTGCAGCTGCCATGAGGACTACCAGATGAAGCTCACATCCAGAGAGTGCAAGGCCAAAGGTGAGAAACCAATGCTTCATTATCCTGCTAAGAAACATCCTGTTGTGTGTGATGTTTCGCTCTCCTGAGAGATCCAGAGTTCTCTTTGTTTGTAAATGAGATCATTATTACCGGCATATCAATTTCAGATGTGTTGCTAATTTTCAGAGATGGATTGTTCTGTGTGAAAACCCTACACATTAGCGTTTTGCCTATAATCGATCCAAAGACAGAGAAAGACTAAGTCCGCACACCAGACAAGGGCAAGGGCCCGAAACATTACATGTGGTGATACTTTCCATGAAATGTTAATGGGAGCAGCTTGTGGTGTACAGACTTAGTGTTTGTCTTATCGATTTAGTTAGTTTTGCAGTTGCATTAAATGATACACACTGCTATGTGGCCTTTGCCGGGAGATTTATGGGAAGTACATTTGGTTTTATGGTTGCTAATAAATCGATACAGACTATACAGCTAACAAGGGATTGGTGCAAAGCTGTGGTCTGAACCTATGCATGTAATGTAGGAGTAGAAAGAAAGATGTCAGCGGGGGGAAATAAAAGCCAGGCCTACATTTGGCAATAAGTGTTGATCAGAAAAACAAAGCCTAATATTTCATTGTGTCCTCTTAAAAAACCCTTCAACAATGTTTATAATCTGCAGTCATGAAGTCTGTTTTTCAGAGTGCAGAGTGCACTACTTAATCACAGGACTATTGTATTTAATCCATGATGCACGCTTCATGATCATTCCACTGTTTTCTTCTAGATCTAAACCAGCAAAGAAAGTTCTGTCTGCATGCTCGTCATGACAGGTCCCCTTCTTAAAACGTTTTTCAGAAGCATCTCAACATGTGGTGTGTTGAATCACATTTTAAGACTGTAATTCAAACATTTTCTACCCACGGAGATGTGAAAGGAAATTCAGTTCAGTTAGGGTGCAGAATGAAGTTAGAAGCAGGTATTAATTTATGCAGTGGACACACACAGTCTGAGCTTTTCTATTTGTCTTGACATTTTCAACTTCATGTCAAAGTGAGCGTAGCATTCTCCCCCTTATTGGCAAGGAGGTTGAACTGGAAAAATGCTGCTCCACCCACCTACACTCACTTAATCCGTCATGTCCAATCTCAAGTTGGAAAAGCTCTGAGCTTTCACAGGACTTGGGATGGTTTTTTGTGAGGCAATAGAATGGGCTACAATTAGACTGATGAGTATTCAGTAGATTGATTATATTCTTACATGCTTTGACTGACAACCATTTAATTATATTTCTGGACCCCCTACCCCACCTATCATGTCCCCCCTCTTTGTAAGTCTGAGTGTGTCTCTTTATCTCTTGTCCTGTCTGTTGTCTGTATGCTTGTTGTCTTTGTGTTTGTTTTGTACTTGCTTATGCTTACTTGTTGACTTTTATTTTATTTTTGTTACTTTTGTTTTAAAGTTCACATGTGGGGTTTTGGTATGTTTTCTTCCCACACCACTAATGTTCACACTCATTTCTTTATCTGCCTTTTACGATGGATGTATTGGTTCAAATGTACCTATATGCTTTTAATTGTTATGTGAACATTCATCCAAGACAACTCTATTATAAAAATATCTTGGTTTTGTTAAATCAGAACACACAGTTTACAGCTTCATATTTCCATGTTCACGTTTCTAATCGTATACAAATTGTTACCAATCTATAATGCTATAATAATTAATAATGACTGACAATCATTGCTAAGTGGTGCTAAGCACATGCAGCTAACATAATTACATTTGCAGGTAAATTACTAATAGCCATTTATGCCTGCAATAATGATTTCTGCTTCTTGTTTTGTAGGAAATGAGGCTCAGCTGGTTTTCACCTCATCTAAAGGAATACGAGCGATAAGCATCACTGGCACTGAGCTCAGGGAACCCGCCTCACACATATCTGGACCTGGACCAGTCGGGGTCTTAGCCTCCAACCAAACACTGTTCTGGGCCCAGCAGGGACAAGGCTCGGTCTACAGGTAACAGAGTGTTTACTGCTGCAACCCAATACGCAAACACAGCTCTTTTATTATTGTTAGAAGCTGATGTGCTCGAGGGATGCAATCCAAAAATTCTGTGATTCTATGTGAAGTAATAGTTTATCTTTTTACCGTATCTCCCCCTTTTTCTACTCTATCCACTGTCCTGTCAAAGAAAGGCAAAAGTCCAAAAGAAATCTTTAAAAAAAAAAACAAAGATGCAGAAGAGGCATCAAATGAAAGTCTGTAATTGGGAATAAATGCATTTTGGGGGGTTTTGCTGTGGAAAAACAAAACTTGAATAAACAGGAAATATTACAGGCAGTTTTTCCATTTTGAAATGACTGGGGTTTCCAGGGTTGACCTCAATGGAAAGCAGCAGGATCACGTGTTGGTGCTGAGATCTCAAGGTTCAGTCTCGAGCCTGGTTGTAGACTGGATCCACCAGCTCCTCTACTGGACCAGTATGGAGAGCGGTTCTGTTAATGTTGGCCTGCTGGACGGCTCGGCTCAGCGTCAGCTCATCACAGGACTGGACAAACCTTGTGCAGTGGCTGTGCATCCTCTACAAGGGTAGGACATTTACTGTTTAACACAGATATGTTTTGTTAAGCCATCCGTTAAAACCAGTTAGGGAGAAGCACAGCAATGAATACGCTAACAGATGACAGATTGTATATATAGAGGGCTGCTTGAAGTGACTATTTGTGACTATTTGACTTCTCTTGGTGTGTCTTTATTTGAGTTATTTGCCAACAAGAAGCAAAAGACCATTTTCAAATCTTCAGCCAACTTTCAAGCCAGGTTTTTGATTCATTGTCTTTCTGTTATGTTTCAATTATAATAATGATAATAATATATCAATTAGCTGTCTCTGTTCTTCTTCAGGATGCTCTTCTGGGCTCAGTGTGGCAGCTCCCCAAAGATTTGGAGGTCCAGCTTGGATGGTCAAAACCGAACGGCTCTGGTCAGCAGCTCAATAAGCCGCCCTGTGGCTCTCTCTCTTGGTATGTTGGGAAATTTTACACACAGGCAACTGCACAGTGAACTTCCTTATATTCACAATCAAATCTAAAAATGCTAAGAATAAATCATTAATACTTCCTGTATAATACAGGAACAAAAAGTGTGTGAATCTGTTGACCTTGACTCGATGTGCACACATTCATGTTTGTTTTTAATCCCAGATATGCCTCGTCAGCTGCTGTACTGGGTTGATCAGGGAATGAGGAGCATCTCCAGAGTTGATCTCGAGGGCAGACACCGTAAAACAGTGGTAGAGTCTAACGGTTATCTGGACCGGCCGTTTGGATTGGTTGTTTTTGAGGTAAGGTCAGACTGGTGTACCCGAACTCTGCAACCAATGCGTTTTAGGATATTTCCATTTAATCGACATATGTTGCATAATGTCGAATAACGGTAACAACCCTTCTGGAAACATCATGGCCTAGGAGGTACACAATTAAAGTCCTGTCACTTTCTGTCACTAATTCTCACACACGCACACCTCCATTAAGAAAACAGGAAATCCCCTTTTTTCTTTCAGTGCTCCCATCCAAATTTCTTAATTCTGATAAAGCTATTGGTCATGGAGAAAGCGATTTGTACTGTGGAGTTCTTGAAAGGTTCTTTATGGTTAGATTGTTGACTGTTGGCGTCACAGCCAAGAGGTTCCTGGTTCGAATCCCCCGTTGGTCAGGGCCTCTCTGTGTGGAGTTTGCATTTTCGTCCGTGCATGCGTGGGTTTCCTCCGGGTATTCCGGCGTCCTACCGCAGTCCAAAGACATGCTTGTTAGGTTAATTGGTCACTCTAAATTGCCTGTAGGTGTGAATGCAAGTGTGGCTGGTTGTCCCCCCCCCCTCCCCCCCCTACCCTGAACAGAACAAGGGGTTTGTATGATGGATGGAAATTGTTTGGATCTTGCTGCACAAGCATGCATAAGAGAAAAAGCTTGTTGTGATGCAAACACACTTATGGACTGGCATTGTGTATGCATGTCACAACACAACAGGAAAATATCACACAGGTGAACTGTTTGAAAAAAAACCTGCTGCTGCTAGGCCTGTGCACAGATCCAAATGCTCTGTGCTGGTAAACAAACCTGGTATTTTCATCAAAGATTGGCCATGTGGTAAAATATAGAAAATTTAATTAAAGCCAATTTTAACATGACTTATTACCAGGGAGCACCTTTAACACAGCCTTCAAATGTAATAACGTCTTTGTGCTTATTCTCTTGATCAGGGTTTTGTATATTGGAGTGAAGAAGTGACAAACTCCATCTGCAGAGCCAGCAAACACAACGGCTCCAACCTCCAAGTGCTGCTGTCAAATGCCACCTCTCCGGGAGGAATGGTCGTCATCCAGCCTGCTCTCCAACCAAACGGTACGATCAGTCAAATAACTGCAGCATATTCTCTCTTTCTCAGACTGTGTGGTGGTTTCTTTTGCAGATAGTTTAACATAAGGAGAGGTGACAGCAAAGAGCAATGGTCATTGTTTATATCCGGCCAATACTGTAACTCTCATTTCCACGCTAAGCACCTGTGTTATGTAGATACTAGATAGTAAATGAAGCTGCGCCCATGGGTGTGCTGGCCTAGAATGAGGTGTGTTCAGGTGCATTACTGGTGTCGTGCTGTCTTTAGGCAGCTGAAAGAGATTGTGCCATTGACCAACAAAAACTTGGCATGAAGTCCTTTGCTCAGTGTTTTCCTCCATGCTATAAAAAGAGTGCGTAATCGGGATAGTAAGTTCACCTGAATAGGCGGGATCACAAAGCATTTACAGTCCGCTTGTTACTCACACAGATGCACGGCAGCGCTTCTAATCTTCTTTTTTTTATCTTGTCAGTCAAGTGGAAGTGTTAAAAAGGACACAGAGGCATGATGTCCTTAAAAAGAATCATAATAACTTTATTTATTTACTCTGTTTACGGCAGCTTTAAAAACAACGGTTTACAACGGTCACAAATGTCGAGCAAAAGCATACTTTCAAACCAAGCACAAGAACCCAAAGGACAAAATAAGCCAGACCTTTCCGTGCTATAATAATGATCAGTAAAATCTTAAACTCTGTTCTAAAACTTGTGGGAATTATTGACTTTAAAAAAAAAAAAACACAGGAAAATGGCAGATTACATTCTGATTGATGTTATTTTATTTTACACCCAAAATACAGAAACACCAAATCAGCCTTAGGCTTCAATGTGGGAGGGATGGTTTAAGCTGGACCTGCACCAAATGAGACAAACATGCGATAACATTGTTCAGAATTGTAATAACGATTTGATGTGTGATGAATATTTCAAGTTAAAGAATGAACATCAGCTACAATTTACAGGTTATATGTTCATCTGCTGGTCTTCATGTTGGTAACAAAACCTGTGTTTGTTCCTCCCAACACACAAAGTAACTAAAAAAGCATTTTTCCTGATTCACCTGAGTGTAGCTGATAGCTTGCTTGTTCTATGTGACGGCTTCAGAATGGTGTGACAGCATGGCCATCATACCTCCATCTAGGTCAAATGTTTGCATGCTGACACAAAGCATTGCTTGTTTACATGAACTGTTTTTCCTTTTTAATGCGATAATTTCAAACTTTCTGAAGAGGTGTTTGTTGTGAGTGCTCAAATCCCCATTACAAAAGAAATTGTGATTAACTGCAGTTTAAACACATCCTTAATGCACTTCCTGCACTCATCTTTAGATTGCTGCTTTCTGACCTATCATACTAAAACTACCTGGCAGTAACCTCTTGACTCTCCTCGACTGAACATGTGTCTGATTCTCAGGGCCCTCTGTATGCCGACATCCTGGGACAATGTGCGTTGCAGAGCTTCAAGGCATTCTTCGCACGGTTCCTGCAACAACTGTATCTGATCCTACATTCTCTGGAGTCCTTTCTCTTATCAGTAAGAAACTGCTTTGTTTTTTTTGTTTCTTCAAAATATTTTGTCCAAACAGATTTTCACCACATGACTGTAGAAACTTCCCATGCGTTTCTTTTTTTAGCGTTGGCACTAGAGTACACTGCTGTTAAAAAAAAAGACACTTTCCTGTAACTGGGGAGGGTCAACAACTTTGCCAATAAAATACATCCCCGAAGCAGCCCTACATTCCAGACTACATTGGAATTTGTTTGTGGAACGTGTCATTCCTGAGATTCTCAGATTGACTCTCAAGATGAACACCAAAGTTAGTTTGTCCCAAAGTGTTTGTCATTCTTCCTTAACTCCGAGGAGCAGGAAGTGAAGTCACTCACACTGAGGTCAACATGATCACTCCCATCTGAGTCATATACATGCAACAGGCAGCATCTGTCAGTGTGCATTAACACCACCAACGTTTTATTTGGGATCTCAGGCATATCTATACAGACGGCCAAAAAAGAGGTGAACATGTCATACAATCGAAATACTTCCAGAAGCCTATTGAAATAGGAAAATGTTCTTGGTTTTGAGCTACATATGTTTTCTCATCTAGTCTGCATGTAAAGCATCTTCAAAGAGCTACTGTGTGAATAGTGATGCAGCTTTTCTTTTTCATGGCAGCCACTTTTTGTGTGTTTTTTACACTCAGAAGTGGTGAATGCTACTCAACAAAACCCTCTGTCATGTCTGTAAAGGCTCCAGAAAGTGATTTTGTGTGTGTGTGTGTGTGTGTGTGTGTTCCCCAGTGATTCTCAGTGTATTGCTGGTGGGAATGGCTCTGTGGTGGTGGAGAGAGGAGCTCAGCCCATCTGTGTCGCTCACTGAGCAGAGCTTCTCCCTCAAAGAGTCCCAGGACCCGCTCATCATCCGGGAGCCACCCATTGGACGAAACACACATCCTTTTAAGGCAAGACAAGTTTTGTGAACTCACACAGTGATGCACATATAAAGCAGACATATGGCCTTCATGCACTTTAAACAGGAGATGTCATTCATTGAGCTGGACGTGTGTACACTTTAGATATATATAACAGTCTCAAAGCGATGTTTATTTTCCACGTCGTGCTTATTTTAGATGCTGTGTTTATGTGGTGGCAAAGAGAAGTCATTTCAATAATGATAGAAAACTACTTTTAAAAAAAAAAATATCATTCATATCATATCAAGAAGGTCTTTGTCTTTAACTTAAATAGTTTTTGGTTATTTCACATGAGACATGTCTGTATCTCTCTATGTTCACCCTCTTCCTCCCCTTGTGATGTTTGTGTCAGCTGGGAAGAAGTGATGTCTCAAATCGTTGAGCATGTTCTGGCCACATTTTAAATCAAACTCTGATGACCTTTTGAGGGTTGTTTGGCTGCACTGTTTAAATCCAATCAAACCTCACCCACAGCTCTGATGACGCTTGATGAACTTGAGTGTTTCAGTCACAGTAAAACAAACGTTTCAGCATCTCTGCTTCTATTTTACATTTGTTTCCTTAGTACTTAAAAAAAAAAAAGTGAAGTAAATTACACATTACGAATGATCCGTTTTAAAATATTGTTGCAATTAAATCTTATATTTATATGTACAAGGAAAAGGATTCCTTAAATTGGATTCGCAGCACTCGCACTATTCAAACAAACTCACCTGTGGGGGTCAAAGGTTCTTGGGCACGGTACGGATTGCCCAGTGTGAGTGCGCCCTTAAAGGGGACATATTATGAAAATTCCACTTTGACAGTGTTTTTGAACATTTATTTAGGTAACCTGAGTGTCTACCGACCCACAAAATGTGAAACAAACCCATCCAGCCCTTTTTTTTGTGGTCTACATAAGTCTTACAACACAGAGAAAAATGCTCTGTTTCAAATTTGCTCAACTTGTGATGTCACAAGTTGGATTCTGGTCAAAAAAATCCCCTCCCCTCCGCTGATATCTCCACCCATGGACTCCATCCCCAGCCTAGAGCAAAACTTTTGCGCAGGTCTGCCATTTTTATTCTCGCTACAGATGAGTGATGTCTTCTGGGAAAACTCAGTGGGGCTCAATGCATTTAAAGAGACACACACACACCAAAACGGAGCGTTCTGAGAGAGCTGGTTTATAACAGGGTCACAAACCTCCTCTGGTGCTTGATGCATGTTATAATTTAGACCACAGGGGACTGTTTGAAAAGGTGTAAAAGGGCTATAATGTGTCCTCTTTAAAGCGCCCATAAGGAACCTTCAGCTTGTGTTGATTTTAGCGACCCCTGTGGATAAAGTTGTACCTTTTTATCTCTTTGCTTTTCTTGTCCATTACATGCAGTGTTCTGATGAAGAAAACAATTCCTGCTTTCTACAACAAGATGTAAAAAAAAAAAAAAAAAAAAAGACAGTGCTGATAATCTCCCAAAAGCTTTAAATGTTATTTCTATGAAAATGTCTTCATGCTTCAATCAACTACATTAACATTTTGAAAAACATTTTTTTTATTTCTTATAACTTCAAGACATTTAAAATAAAAAAACAGATGCAATTGAATGTAAAGCTTTTGAGGTTTGACCACTCTCTGATTTATTGTAACAAATTAAGTTTGGTAGTTTAAGGCATTTCTCTTATAATACTCGTAAAAGTTATCATAAGCACGAACAATCGATGTTAGTGCAGCCGTGAGTCTACAAACAAGACAGGATCCACAGGTGTTTCCTCCTCAGGAAGCCATGCCCCAGTGCTACTTCCTTGTGACCTTCCTTAGACATTATTCACAGAACCTGAATAACATGACAGAGGGATTACACCAAATTACTACAACTGAGACATAAAACAGTTTCCCCAGTTAGTCAATGCCCTGCTAACTGAGACTGCCAAAGTACTAAGAGCTGCTCATGGTGACAAAATTCTAAGAAAATTCTTAGAATCAGGACATTTTCTAAGAATTTCCCCTTACAGTCAGGACTAGATCCGTGTAAAGATGAAAGTTATTCACAAAGTGTCTTAGCCTTTAAGAGAGCTCCTATGGTGTAAAACTGTTAGAAGTATTGAGGAGGATTTTTAACAGGCTTAAGAGTTTCTCAGCTTGAGGAGAAATTCGAGAAATGTTCTCCAAACACTTCATGGATAATATTTTTGACTCATATTTGGGCCGAACAGACAAAAATTATTTTTGCAGACATTTCAATCCATCTCTGACTTTTTGCCAGTACAAAGTGAGACATGCATGTAGAGTTCCTCGAGATGTGGTTACCTGCACAAGTGCATCAAATCACTAATTAAGACCCCTTTACCTGCTGATGTAACAATCGGTATGTGAAGAAGCTGGTGCACCTCATTGGTGACTGTCATTTCAAACATCTTTTAAAAGTACATCTTACAAATTATAACACAGACGCTAATTTCATAGTATTCATGAATACACAATGTTTGACTAGATTCTATGATTGACTTTGTGCAATTATGATCACTATGAGATTAGCATCTGTGTGATAATTTGTAAGACGTACTTTAAAGTAGAACGCCTACAAAAATGTTTGAAATGACATGCCCTCTTGTGTTGCTTTAATAACTAGTGTTGAGTATTTGGGTTTAAAAAAAAAATGTTGTGATCATTGCAATTAATGTGTTGTTGGCTGCATTTTGATATTATTGATAGTTCGATTGATACCGTTTTAATGTCCGGTCATGTGTTTCTATTACATTAGCTGTTTGTTTATCTGTTAGTAGTCCACACATCTCTTTCTTACTAATGGAAGTAATGTACTAACCTCAAAAAAAATCCTGTCTGATTTTATTGTTTATTAGCTTAATGTTATTGATTTTCTTAAAAAGCATTTGGGGAGCCTTCCCCCAGATAAACACTCCTTGACCCGCTCCCATCACTTTATAGGCTTATGGTGTGCAGTATGTCGACTAAGCCTCATGTCTCCCTGTCGCCAGGAAACTCTGGTTAAGCCGGACTTGGAAGGTGAATGAAGGCAGCGTGTCACACATGGTCAGCTGACCAGGCTTCCCCCGGGGCCATCTTCACCTCGCAGTGCCCTCAGAGCAGAGGGGATGACAGGACAGCAAACCATCTGAAATCATTCAGGAAATGACTCCATGGTAAATATAAGATTAGCAAAGGCTTAAAGGTTCAAAGAAGAATTAGTTTGAGCTTCTGGAGTTTGTGTTATTTTGTTGGAGATGTATTTTGTATTCACTCTTAAAGTTGAGAGCAAACATCAACATCAAGCCTTCTTCTTTAGCATGGTCCTAAAGAGGTCACAAGTTTAAGTACGTCTGAAGGTCAAGATGGGATCTGTTAAGATTAAAAAATTGTTTTGTTTAACCCCTAACTCTTCAGAAAATAAGAAATCAGCAGCTGTTGGAAAAAAAAAATGGATTAAGTCAAATGCAGCTCACTTGCTGATTACAAATGTGTGATTTGATTTCAAAGCTTTGTTTCCTAGACACAAGCAATATATATATTTAGACTAAAAGGGCAGTTAGGGAAAACTTTGCAGACCAAACAATTACTACATGGATGAAAAACAATGGTCTAATCACACAGTAGAGTTTAATTGCACTTTCTTTTTCCCTATCCTTTACTTGTTCAGTGTTATGGCTTGTTTTTACTTTTCAGCATCAAACCGGTATATCATCATTTATTGGAGAGCATCCTCTTGACAATAACTGGTGTTTCACTTGTAGCTTTTGGCCTTTGACAGTTTTTTGTGTATGTATGCAACTCTTTGGTCAATAATGTTATCAAATGAAAATGTTGAAAAATTACGATTTTCCACACACTGGATTACAGGAATAGTTAATTATTCATTTACAATCAGTTTCTGGTGAAGACTAAGTTGTCATTTGATAACACTCTCGTAATCATACATTAAAAATGAATGGCAATGACATCAGGAAGTCAGCGCTATTATCCAAGAAATAGGTGCGGTTATACTAGAGCCACTCATTCTGTTATTCAACCCCCAGCCCTACCTTTTTTTTTTTTTAAGTTTAACTTTGAAAATGGCCTTCAATGAGAGAAAACTTTATGTGGTTTCTTCATAGATTTGAATCGTCTTTAATTCGGACAGAAAATTTAAAAAAAGTATACAGAAGGAATTAAGTTTAAAGAAATGTGTGTATGACATATTGTACAGATTTAGACATTGAAACTGTAGAGGAAGGTTTAAAACAGCTGGTTTAATATCAATATGACTATCAGCAGATCGTTTTCATTTTTCTGAATGGGGAAACAATCCTCAGTCTATTTATGCTTGAACCATAAAAACTTGCAAGATGTCGAATCTTTGCATCATGTGCCTCTGCGTTTAAGCATGAGTGGATGCTCTTACCTGTTTACGTCGGTGCTGAAATGAAAGACAAGACGTTTGTTGTAGGACGTAATTAACTTTGAACAGAGCCAGGTTAACCGTTTCCCACATTTCCTGGTCTTTCAAAAAGGCTAGCTTGCTCAGCTGCTAGCATCGATACATATTTACTGTACTTGTATGAGATAATTGTATTCCCCAAATATGCCGGGGATGTGTGGGGGATGATGAAATTATGTTTCAGTGAAAGTGCGGGCGTCGCAACACCCGCGGGTGAACACGCTCCATTGTGTTTTCGAGAGCACTGCTCTAGAAAACACAATGGGGAAAATAAAGTTAAAATGGCAATAATGTAATCTATGAAATCAGAGTCGAGTATTAGGCCTGTTGGATTTCCTTCCGAGAAGAAGCGGTGCTACACTGGGAAGAAATGTGTGTCTTATTTTGTCTCCTGTTTGGTTTTTCCTCTGGTGCACAGAGCGTGTGTTGTGTTGGAGTGAGTGTTTGGTTGATGGACCTGCCTTGTTTGTATTCTACCTTTTTCTGTGACGATCTAAAAATGTATTTAAATCTGTGGGACTGATTCCAATCCTTCTGCCTTATTTTGTTAGTTTCTTTTCGACCTGCTGAGTGTGGTTGGTATTTATTTTAAGGGATGACTTATTTATTTTCTTGCAGAAGTGCTGTAGTTGCAACAGGGATAAGTCTGTTAGATGCTGTATATGAATCAAATAAACTTGTTTTATGTTTTTCCTACATATTTGTGTGTATTTTTATTACACCTTTGTTTTTATCTTCTTTGCCTCTGCAGCTTTGACATTTCAGTGCCATACATTTATAGGAGTCCGTAGTACATAAACCAAGAAGTGTGAATGTAACCATTCGATTTTAATCTCACATTTATTAAGCACATTCACAAAAATACAAAGTACAATGTGTGGTGAAATGTTTTTGTTACCTGTCCTGTCAAGAGTTATACACATTATGTAAAAGAAATACATAGAAAATACAGAAATATACCTCTCAAGTGTACTATTAAAGTTTTAAAAATATGAAACCTATATTTTAAATTTCTCACAGCATTGTCGTTTACATGTGAAAACCTGACCTAGTCCAAGAGGTGGGGGGGGGGGATTTCTCACCTTGATACTGCCAATCTACGGCAATTCCTGTCAGTTGTTGGTGACTATAAATTCCTGTGAAGAGCCGTTAATTTGAACTTCCACAGCAATTTACAGAGAACATGGCGCAGAAAATCCTGCTTTTCATGCAGCGAAAAAATGCTAAAAAAGAGAAATGGTACTTTTCAATCCCAGAGACACTCTTTACCCTGGATACATTTAAAGTACACAAAAACCTCTACAGAGTACAAAAAAGTTGAAAAAAATAAAATCCCATAAAGAGTTAAAAGATATTGTGTATTTCGCAATAGTATTTCTGATGTGCAAGTGTTTTTCGAATGGTGAAACAATCCAGCCTCTAGAAAAAACACTTGTAGCTTCCGGTGCATTACCCACCACTTCTGCTATGTTGACCTACTTTAAAGGTACCATAAGAGGCAAGGCAAGTTTATTCATATAGCTAATTTCATGCCCAAAAGCAACTCAATGTGCTTTACACAGGAAAGACTAATACAAGGCTCAAATATTAAAATACAGATTCAACAGGAGTGCATAAAATCAAGGAGAATTAAATCATTTAAAAAGAGACATCAAAACAATTAGATTACATAAAACGTATTTGTAAAGTGCAATTACAACAAAAATCAAGTGTAAGCTTAAAGGCTCAGTCCAAGGCACATTAAAAAATAAATGTTTGGAGCACATCTAATCTCTGATGGCAGCTTGATCCAGTTACCGGCAGCGTAGTGACTAAATGCTGTCACATTGTTTAGTCGGGACTCTGGACTGAACAAGGTGAACAGAGTTAATAGATGTAAGGTTTGAGTGTCTGAAGAATGTCTCAACAACTGATTCACACTAAGATATACACTTAATAATATAAACAGACACAAAATCAGCGTTTCATGTTCCATGAGCTGTTTCACTGCATATCTAGCGTCTACAGTTCACACAGGAGATTAAAGAGGAGCAGTCTGTGCCTCAGCAGCTGACGCTTCTTCTTAGCTCATTAGGTTACTGTTAGACCTGACCCAGTGACTTCAGCCGATTCCCCGGTGTATTTTTAATGAGTCTTTATAACTGTAAAAGTAAAAAGCTTTTTACAATGCTTGTGATTTTAGGAATGTAAGGTGTGACACAAACACAAGGGTCCCTTTCTTTAAGACCCCTCCCTCACAAACAATATCACACAGCTACGCTAATATAAAAAAACATGAAATATTTGTTAGACACTATGTTGATTAAAGCATGAAGTCTAGTTATCATTTCTGACAAACAGCCTCATTAAAAAAATAATACAAAATATTGTACTCTATATTCAACAAAATATTAAGTGCATTACATTAAAAAAATAAAATCTAGTGATCACTAATTTAAATATAATACAGTTCTTCCTGAAGGGCGGTTGGCTATCTGTGCTTGTTGTCATTGCAGTCCATTTAAATTTGTTGCCATGTTTTGGTAAAAGTATCAAGTGTCACCCTTTCGATTTGCCGCAGAATTTCATGTTAGTTACCAATTCTAGCTTCATTTCAAACAGGCCATCATGTACACGTAATGTACAGACGGAAAAAGGGAGATATAGGATATTGTTATTTGTATAAAAGTGTTGTAAATTGTTTCTTCTTATCAGAGATTTTATAACAGTTTATAGTGAGACAACACACTTTATTATCCTCTGGCAGACATTTGACACTATTGTCCGGATAGGTCATCTTTAGGTGTTGAACACCTCTATGGGTTTCTACATCACATCTTTCCAGTTCCTTTGTCCCTGTTAACTATAATCTAATGATGAGGTGTGAGGTGCGTCAAGGCGGTTAGCAGGGGAAGATCACAGACAGTCGATTAAGGTGAGAGGAATTACCTTCAAATTACATCAGTCGGGGAAACAACGGTCGGGATTGTCTGGAACAATGCGAGTGCAACAAAAAGTGTTTAGATGTAAACATGGCCAAGTGCTGCCCCAGACTTAAGAAATTTAGTTTTTTAATCTAACATAGTTTATGTTTCTATAAAGCCACAGTATGCTACAGAACAATAGCACACAGGTCTCATGTCATTCCTAATTTAACTACATGTCCCTCTGTCATCCAATAATAATTAATTATTCACACATGCACAGAATAATCCTCAACACTTAATCCCAATTGGTCCCAGGATTCGATTGAGTTCAATTCTTATAATTTAAAGTTAGCCAGCTAGGCTTAACTATGGTCAACATTAGCTAATCAGCAGCATGTTAGCATTGTGACTGTTAGCGTGCTTATGTTTATGAAAAAAAAGGAAAAAGGGACTCCACCCTGTCAAACCAGTTTAACGAATGTAAAGAAAAAGCGAACAGACATGGAGGCTATCTGCTCTGCCCCTGTAAAGCTATACTGGCCCTTAAACAATAGAATTACAAAAACTAATAAATAAATGAAGAAACCAAGTTGATGTGTGATGTAGTATTTAATTTATGAAATAAATTCCACTTTGTAAACCTAAAGCTATTGGAAATTATTTAAGTGGGTTTGACATAAATGTAAATTAATATAAATGCCTCCTTATGGTGTAAAAAAAAAAAAAAAGCAAACAACATCAACAGAGAAAGAATTTATCATTTTAGTTCAGTTAAATGCCTTCAACTTCTGACCTTGGGTGTCAGATGAAGTGATTGACAGCATGCTGCAGAAACAGCCTTTTTTCTTTCCATGGTTTAGATTCTCATTCAGTGATTTCTTTCACTGTTAAATGATAGCATTGTGATATTATCAAACACTACTTAAGGATGTAGGCTATAGGAAGGAATCTGCAGATCGGTATGGAGCTAAGGTTTTGTGCAGAGGGGTTGCCAAAATCAGCACAATACCAAAGTTCCTCACTGGAGCTTTAAATACAAAATAAACACAGACAGTGAAAAATCATGAAGCAAGAGTCAAATATTTGTTTGTGGCAAGAGTACTCTATAAATCAGCAGTTTATCCTTCCCTTTTAAATGAAACCAGTCAAAATACTATTCAATTATTGGAAAGTAGTGTGAGGAAGTGAAAGAAAAATGGAACAAAAATCAGCCACTACAACGGAAAGGTCCAAGTTAGAGCTTTGTCTCCCCACACGTTAAAATCCTTAAATCAACTTTGTTTCCTAATCCCGCCTCCCCCTATATTTACAACTACTTAAGGAAACTTGGAAAGGCCCAAATGAGATTAAATGGATGACATTCTCACTGCTTGCCCTTGATCTAGTCTGGCTAGTCGAACAAATCAAATGCCTGTGTATTGTCTTCACAGTCAGAGAAGGGGAATCTCTTCCTCTGTATCAGACTCTCTGGACTATAACCTCAGCCACAGATGAGCCAGAAAAACAAGAAGAGCTGGTATTTACTGGGTTACCAGTTCCTGCAGGACCAGGGGCAGTCTTTCTGATGATTCATCAAGATACTGGGAGTTTCTGGACTTATTTTCCAGGAGTGTTTCCTGTTTTGCTTTCCCCCCCTTTTTAACTGGTGTACTGATTTCCTGCCGTGGACCACAGTTGCAATGGCATCACTGAATGTTAAACTGCAGAATTGTTTGAAAAACCGTCGCTCGACTATCAACTGTCTGCCCAAGGGTGTAGAGGACATCAAAACATTCCCGTTTTCTCAGGAGAAAGCAGTCAAAGCTTGGACATCTCTGGAGAATCTTGACAATCCGGGCACCAAACCAGTGAGCCCCAAAGGAGAGGAAAGACAGGAAAGGCAACAGGTCATCATTGTTAATGTTGGGGGGAAGGTGTTTCATATCCCCAAACAGTATGCTGCTAAGTATCCTCAGACGAGGATAGGCTCATTGGCCCTGTGCAGTGACCGAGCAAAACTCCTAACGCTTTGTGACGACTACTCTGTACGCAAAAATGAATTCTTCTTCGATCGGGACCCTGCATTTTTCCACCATGTTTGCCATTTCTACACAAGTGGAGTTTTGTGGGTGATACGTGAAATGTGCCCCATCAACTTTGAGGAGGAGATCGCATACTGGGGCCTGAGCCTGAAGGACACTCAGCTTTGCTGCTGGATGGTGTTCCAGGAGAAGGTGGATGATGTGAAGGAGAACCTTAAAGTGGACCGGGAGCTGATGGCTGAGATCGAGGTCAAGTACGATGACGAGTGTTTCAAAGAAATGGTCTTTGGGAATGTACGAAAGTCGCTGTGGAACCTTGTGGAGAATCCATACTCTTCAATTGTAGCTAAGGCTTTCACTGTAGTCTCCAACCTTCTTGTGCTGTTCTCCATCTTTGCAATGACTCTCAACACCGTGGAGGAACTTCACATGTATAAAATAAACGGCAAAACGTACATGGAATGGGTGGAGATCCTCACCATTATATTCTTCACCTTTGAATACGTCATTCGCCTTTTCACCAATCCGAACATTGCAATCTTTTTGAAGAGCGGACTCAACTTTGTGGACATGGTGGCTGTCATGCCGTATTTCTTCCAGATAGTCTTTGAAGTCTTTTCTGACCAGGAGAACGTGAGCGCACAGGAGGACCTCAAGACCATGGCTCGGGTCAGCAAACTCAGCCAGGTCCTCAAAGTCATCAAGCTAATGAGGATCTTTCGGATTTTAAAGCTTGCTCGACATTCCACGGGCATGAGAGCGTTTGGCTTCACCCTGCGGCAGTGTTACCAGCAGGCCTCTTGTATTCTCCTTTTTATTGCCATGGGAATCTTCACTTTCTCGGCTCTCCTTCATTCAGCCGAGAGAGAGACTGAGGGAACTCCCATCAGCAGTATCCCACATGCCTGGTGGTGGGCTGCAGTGAGTATCAGTTTAGCTACAAGTCATGCTCCAGACACTAAACTTAAAAGTCTTCCCTTTGGCTGTCCTCTTTCTCAAAAAACACCTGATGTACTTTAGAAAGCAAATAATTATTACAGTAAGCAATACTTACCAATAGGCACAGACAATCCTCAAAGAGGGATGGAGCGTCTGCCATTCAGCCCCTAGATGGAAATTGCCTTTTTTATAGAAAAAGAAAAAGAAAACGTTCTATTTCCTGTCCTGATGAAAAGATGTATAGATATGATCCAAATCTCCGTTTAGGAGATAAGTGCCCCTGGGTGATGACCTCTACTTACCCTCTCTAATGGTTTCCTGCTGCGTATGTCATCCTTGAGTCATTGTATATGAAGAGCTGTAATACGTAACACACTGTGAGAATTTATCTGATATTGTCCAAATTCTTAATGGTAGATGTGGCTTAAAATAATTACATATAAAACTTAACTAAAACTTGAGTACTCCCTGTGATAATTCACATATTCATAAGATAAAAATCTAAATAAATGTGTTTGATCTAACCTTGCAAAGTGAGGGAATTTGGTTACAGTTTTGAACTATCAAATATGTGAAGTTTCTGTTAGAGGGTCTTTGTGTTTTTTTTTCTTATTCATTCACTGTTTAAATCCAGGAAATTATGAGTTTGAGAAAATAACCCCTCTGTCCAGGCTTTTTTTTTTATTCTTCTAACTACAACGGCACTAACACACGATTGAACAAAAAGGTATTTAATATCTGCATGAAGCCTTTTAATTCTTGCCTCTTGCCCCTGCCCCTCCAACATGGGAAGCCTGTTAGAGAACTTGAGAACTGACAGAACTTGAAGGCCCTTCACAGGAAAAAACATTTTTTTACTTCAGGAATTAAAGGCAGGAAGATTAGGTCCACATTCTCTTATAAATCATCAGGCAAAAAACTCTCTGACACTTAGAAGAAACGCTATTTTTCTTTCTTGTTCCAGTGCGCAGGATTAGATTTAAACATAACATAGATATATATTTATGTTTTTTATGTGTATACCAAAGGCTTAAAAAAATGTTATTAAAACAAATAAAATACTGCCTACAACCATGATAAAACATCCTTGATGAGGATGAAGTGGCAATGTGTTCCCCACAAATACAAATAAAAGTGTTTCTGAGTTGTGATCCAGTGTGGGTATCAGACCCATTTCATCAAATGTTCTACCTTCAAGCTGCGACTTAACAATTAAGATCCTTATGTATTTATTTGGCGTCATGAATTGAAACCAACTTGTGCATGGGCATATGAGACCACACTGTAGCGGCTGTGAAACAGTGGTTGCTGCAGTTGAAAATTCTGTTTTCGGTGGCTGGATGCATGGAGGAAATAATAACGACATTAACCTCCCTCTTTAAGTGTTTGTGGCACCAAATGTCATTATGATGTTACAAATCTGTTGATTTAAAGTGAAATTCAAAGTCCCTTTGTGCTGAGCATTTTCAATACCTGGGTTTCATAAATACTTCTAATTTAAATTACCAACTTTTAAAGTTGACACAGGTCCCTCTTTCAAGAAAAATCTGAAAAAGTAAATTAAAAACACTGAATTTTCTAATTCAACATTTTGTTTTTGCATCTAGGCTTTTTGAATCATCCGTTCTGGTCAGTGCTGTTGTCAAGCTGGAAAAGTCCTTTTCTGATACTAAATTATACTTGTGAAAACACGCTGCATATATTAGATGTACTTTTTAAAATGTGAATGCAAACAGAACATCAGCACCTGAACACTAAGATCTGACAATGATTCTTTTATAGGTTTCCTTTGCTCAATAATGGCAGTTTGTCACCACAGAGAGATTACACAAAGGAGCACGTAATGTAATCTCATCTAAACCAAGACTAAGCTTCTGTCCTGCATTCACCTTCTCTCGAGAGGAGAACGAACGCTACATAACACAATGACTTACAATAGCCCAAACCAGTTTGCCTGATTGTTGTAAGCCATTTCAAGTAGCTCACTGCTAGTTAATTCTGCAGTTTTTTTTTGTTGTGAAAAATGCATTTTGATGAATCATACAGGACATCCTGCGTGATGAAATTCAGTCTCAACGGCTCTGAATGAGCCAACAGGAACAGAAAAATTATGATCCTATATGAAGCTTGTAGCTTCATGACACCTCCTGTGCGTGACCATGGAGGGAGAGTTGGGGAGGAGATGTCCCCCAAAGTGTTGACTTGGAAATGTTTTATATTTTTGTTTTGCTAATTATTCTTTATTCTATAAATAACAACAATGAATTATTTCCCCCTTTTTTTTCCTCTTAGGTCAGCATCTCCACTGTGGGCTATGGGGATGTGGTTCCTGTAACCATCCTGGGCCGCTTTGTGGCCTTCGGCTGCATCTCATTCGGTATCATCCTCAACGGCATGCCGATCTCTTTCCTCTTCAACAAGTTCTCTGATTACTATTCCAAGCTAAAAGCCCAGGAGTACAACACCATATTAGTGCAGCGGCGCTTTTACCTTAAGAAGCGCCTCCGACGCAAAATGGACATGTGTTTTCATCCCTCAGAGGAAGAAAGTACGGCTGACAGCCAGTGTGAGTGCCCACACAATGAATCTAATGATGATAACTGATGTGTGTCTTAAGTTTGAATATGTTATTTGGTAAACTTGAAACTGAGTCTTCATGCATAACTGTGTTTAAGGAAGTGAGAAAATAAACTGACTTTAAAAGCAGGTTCAAACAGAAGGTGGACTGTTTTGCACAGAAGTTGTCACTATCACTCCTTTAACTCATCAGCCACACCTTTCTGATAAACCAGATCAACAGAAGGAAAGTTTATTGTGCTGTAAATGACTGGTGAGTGTCATGAAGTCTCCAAATTTGAAATATACAATCTGGTGAGCTGTGTGTCTTTAAAGTGGGCTTGGACCGGAAAATTACTGAATTGTAAACGAGTGCCTGTGAATGAATAAACATAGAAATTGTGTGAATGTTTTTTATAAACATACACTTGTGTTTCCATCAATACTGTCACATAGTTAACATGAACCCATTCTATCAAATGAGTGATTAAAAAGTACTGTTGACTGAAGTATTTTAAATGAAATGAAATGTGATCATCTCAAGCTCTTCATTATGACACTGCAGAGTTATCAACGCTGATTCCAACAGATAACAAACATGTTTTTGTCAAAATGAAAGTCAACACTGACAGTGAGAAACCATTCTGTTTTCTGAGAAGATGACCTAGACAATGAAGAGCTGCTCCACTTTTTTAATGTTTCACTTACAAAAAGGGTTTTTCCCCAGAGAGCGGGGGGAGGACATGCAACAACGGGCAGAGGTTGTATTCACACCCACAGCCGCTGTGATGAGGACTGCACGAAGTATGCGGCATAATTGCCAGGCTTTCAGGTGCCCAAAATTTGACATTTTATGCTGACATTTGATGGCTACTTTGTCATGATGTGGCAGAAATCCATTGCTTGGGGTTTCCTGTGTGAACTACAAGAAACCTAAAGAATCATTTCCTGTGATCTGACAACACTGCCTGTCTGCCCACATCTCCATGTATTCTGCCCACATCTCCATGTATTCAGCATTTGTGCAAAGCTATTTAGCTAATGGCAGGGTCCTTATTTCTACTGTGCATGTAGGGCGGTGGTCTTTCAGTCTTTCCAACTTTCAGTATAATGTGATAACTCTTATGTGTTTTGTCCCACAGTCCCTTGATCTATTTTGTATATATATGTCTAAATTATATCAGCTTTAATGAACCAATGATTTTCTTATGTGTGAGCAAAGATATACATTCCAATCAAGACTCCTCCATGGGGAAGTTCATGTCATTCAAAGAAACATGGTGTCTAACCTGTGACATCACACATCAATCTGATTTAAGGCTGGTCCACTGTTTCATTTTGTCACCGTTTAGATCACTAGCTGGGATCTGTAATGCACCTCAGGTGTAAAAAAAAAACAAAAAAACAACAACAACACTATTTTATAACTCAGATCATCTGTCTTAATTTTCTTTCACAGCTTCAAACATTTATTTTCATATGTCCAGTTCTAGTTTTTTTTATTATTTTTTTTGCAAAGAAACTTAATTGTATATGTGATGTAGAAAAAAATCTTTGCAAAACAAATACTGAAGTGCTTTGACCCTGCATCCTTTCATTTCAACAGCAAGCGGACACTCCACTGGTTAAAAAAAACAACCTCTGCTCACTTATCACGTACAACCGTGTTTTGAATTAGTTTAAGTTAGTTTCAAGTCTTCTTTAAAAGAGCATGATGCTCATTTTGTAATTTATGGCAAGGTATGCTTCAGGCGTGGCAACCTTGAAGCTGTGAATAAGGAAGAAGGTTTGGTGACACATATACACCCTGTCAGCTATGTGTGGTTGATTCTGGCTCCAGTAAAACAAGATGCAAAGGCGGAAATGGACTTGCTGTTTTTTCTTGTCTTTTTTTTTCTCTGAGCCTCTAATTTTGTCTTTCTATTATTTGTAAAATAAAAAAAGTTCTATTTAAATTTGCTGAACTTACATGTAGCACTGCTTCTGTGTGAAATACAAGCGGTGGTGGAACAAAGTGAGATCACACAACATGCACTATTTTTGAACAAAGTGCTAAACTTTTGAATTCTTTCCAATTTCTCCTGCCACATATTATTTAATTATGCCATCTATCCCATGGCCTTAATTTTCTTCACTTGGTTTTAATACATAACTAGACAATTTGCATTTACCTGAGGAAAATGCCGGGGAATGCTGACCAATGAAATGTTTTGCAAAACACTGCTGAATGAAGAAGAATTAGCAGAAACAGCTGAAGGAATAGTAGATGAAGAAAAGTAGATGTGGAAGATTAGTAGTAGTAGAAGAGTAGTAGAAGTAGAAGTAAAAGTAGTAAAAGTAGAAGAACAAGAATATGTAAAAGGAGTAGTAGAAGAAGTATTAGTAGCAGATGAAGAAACAGTAGTAGAAGTTGTAGAAAATACTGTAAGAGTATCTTACTGCTTAACTGCAGTCTATGAGAAAAAGGGGGAAACGTCTCCCTATTGAGTGCTCATTTCAAGGGCTTAAATTAAGAGTTGGTGGCTAAATGATGATTTTGTGAGCAAGAGGACAAATGGCCGAACGCGTTGATGTGATTTTCATGTCTGGGATCCAAGAAATGTGGGGATAGGGTTGCCACCCGTCCCGTAAAATACGGAATCGTCCCGTATTTTACACTTTGATATTGGGTCCCGTTTTGAATCAGTGCGGGACCCGGTTTGTCCCGTATTTCCCAAATGCCTTGAACTCAGCATCATTCAGCCGGCTAGTTCCCGCCTCCTCGGTGCGTCCGTTGGTTTGTTTGGTTGTTTTTTGGCATGAGCAATGAGAGCTCGTCAGTGATTGGGTGAGAGAAAGTCATAGGAGTCAGAAGGAAACATGTCTGCAGCTGCCTCTGATACGTGAGTAGACGTGAGTAGAAAGTTATGCCTGGCTTGAGTGAACATGAATATGATGTAAAGGAAACTATTGTAGGCCTACTTAATATATTTTCTCCGATGTTTATAGATAGGTTATTCCAGTATCCTATAGTTCGAATATTTTTCGGCACGTAAAACAAAAAGATGACGTTTATTTTAGCCAAATCTGTATTCACACTATGGCCTGGGCGAGATATCATCAATACAACATCAATATATCGACAGAAGACACTTAATTAATACAATAACAAAATAGTTCAAAACCATGTTAATTGTATCATTCATGATTTCATGAGCAAACAACAAAAAAGACAGAAAGAAGGACAGAATAAATGAATAAAAATACTATTAAATTCGTGCCTTTTATTTAATTAAATCTTACTGCTCCCTTCTATGTTACAGCAGTGTCAAAAGCACTTCAATAATACTCTGTTAACACTAGAAAGACCAAGGCAGTCATTTTGACTGTTTTTTAATTTTGCAATGTAGTAACTTACTTAAAATAAAACCTGTGTAACTACAGGACCATGACTTTTCCTAAATGTGTCTATGTTTTATTCTAGCATTGTTATTTTATCAAAAACACAAAACATAAAATAGTTTTGAGTATTTCTACCTTGAAAGTCCATAGCGGTCATATTGACTGCATGCATTATAGCCAGTGTATCATTTCAGTATTCACTACTTTTTCCCACTCTTGAAGGTAGAGGTGGGCGATATGGGAAAAATACCATATCACGATTTTATCACAATGTTTTTCATACTGTTTAGGCAAATTTGTAAGTTGCTGACCAGCTCAACCAAACTTATTTCCCTGTATAATGTTTTTAAATGCACAAAAACTGTGCCGACGAGTTTAATCCATTTGAAAAACATCTTTGTAGGAGGTCTGGAGGTCTCACCCAGAACAGGTTTTCCTCACCACTTTGAAATGATGATTTAGTTCTGTGTCCTCTTTTAATGTTCATCAGGAAAATTGTCACACAGTGATGCATTTATTTAAAAACATGTAGACTTCAGGTTCTTGTGTTTCTGTTCTATTTAACCCTGCAGAGTTCCTCCAGCTGTAGCTTCATACAGGCTCTGCAGCCTTTGTTGTTTTTTTATGACATCATTGGACTAACTTTAGTTTTGTTCATAATCAAACATAATACAGAATGTGTTCATTCTGTGACACATGATCAAAGTAAGTTTTACTGAAAGAAGAGTTTAATTCATAGAGGGGGCGGGACATTGTTGATTGACAGACAGACAGTCACCATGGTTACTCACTCTCAGCTGCCTGCTGAACACAACGTGTAACGTCGTTTAGCCTAATCCCTATAAGTTCAGTTATCACAACAGGTGAGCTTTGGGTGGAGAAGCTTGATAGTAACTTTTAAAAACTGAGAGAGAGCAGAAAACACCGACAGCAACATTTTAAACACCAAGGTTATAGCTCTCATCACTGACTGTCTGAGCTCTGCCCTGTCTGTCTCTGACTGTTAACGTCTCTCCGTGCCGCTATCCGAGTTTGTAGACTAATCTTAACTGTGCACACTATGCAGATAAGTTAACTATTGCTCACAGCGTGTCGGTTTGTAAAAATATCAGAACAGTTGCATATAACTGAGATGGAGTTGTTTTTGCGGACTTTACTTTTAAGTTTCGTTTTCACCTCTGCGGAGCAAAAAAGGAGGAGACGCGTCTGTGTAGGAGCATAAACTGCAGTATGATAAAATAAACACATTAGTCCGGTTCTACGATCTCTCTGTTTTGGGAGATCGTCAGCAAGTTAAAATCCTTCACGATCTAAGATCGTTATATCGCCCACCACTACTTGAAGGTGCGCATCGCTGTTGCCGCATCGCTGTTGCCGTAGCAACTATTGTTTATAACGCCAAGGAGGAAAGAAAGCTTACCCGCCTAAAATCATATAGAAAGAATAGAAGACATACATTTGAATTAATCAACATTGAAAAGGCATAATAGAGTAAATTAGGATCTGATTTAGAACAGAATAGAACGAAATGTCAGAAGGAGGAGGATTGCTGCCACAGAGGCTCCAGAGCCTTGATGAGGTAGAGTCTGATGGAGGCAGGTTCGGATACGGAAAGTGATGTCTCCTGGTCTCTCGAAACTTCACCCGACACTGGCTCTGAGATTGAACCTGAGAATGATACAGAGATCATTTCCATTCGCAAAAAACGCCGGCTGCTGTTTTCGATAAACTATTCAAATTTCAAATTCAATAGAATTGAAGGTTTATTATACCTTTCACAACATTACAGATCCATTTATTCTTATATTTGATATTGATTATTGAAATGATATGCAAATAATTTGTAAACAGTCAAAATGACCACTATGGCCTTTCTAGTAGTGATAGAATGCCGGTCGTTCTAGTGTTAATGAATTAATGTTAAGTTAATAACTTTATTTGAAGTTTAAATTAAGTTGTAAATTAGATAGGCCTAGCATATGCATTTCATTGTGCATACATTACTGTATCCGCCTTTACACTGAAGTTTTGTGTTTTTGTAAATTATTTCAGAAAAAAAACTGTTAATAAAGCACTTAAAACTTTAAGTATGACTCTTATTACTTTATTAAAACCACGTTTTAAATCATGATTCACCACAACTGGTGCCCCACAACGTTGGGCCAGTGGTGGTCAGGCCCCTTCTGAGTTGCACCCCGCTGAGGGGTGTCCTATATTTTTCTGCTTGGAAGGTGGCAACCCACAGTGGGACCCACCCCTAAAGTTTTTCAACTTTAGTTGAAAAGTAAAAAGTCACAGCAAACATATCTCGAAGAAATAAGAGTTTGATAGTTGAATGGTGGAAGTAGCACAAACGGTTGAAGAGTTGGAACGCGGCGAAAGTTGTAATACAGCATTCTCACTCATGAATGCTCATTACAGCTTTATCACTAATGATAATTGCTTGCATTCCAATAGGGTCCTCCGAGGTCAGTGCTTGGGCCCTAAATAATGTTTGACCTGCTTTCTTTCACGATGGAAAGAGAAAAAATAACTTATAAATATTAAATCTAATTTAGTTGAGTTTAATTTGGGGCTATTCTTCCCACGTTTGCCTACCAAGTTCACAAGTGAGCTTCATCAATTTTCTTTTTTAGCTACATTTTTGTAATGATTGATGGTCAATGTTCACTCTGTAATTACGCTCACAGTGGAATTTAATTTATCTCAGCTCAAATAACACAGTATATATAGGAGTGAGAGGGGACGTACACGTATGCACATACAGTTAAGAAGTTACTGTTGGGGGGGTGCTGGTGGTGCAGTGGTTAGTGCGTGCGCCCCATGTATGGAGGCTGTCGTCTCAAGCGGGCTCAAGCAAAAA